CGAACGCGCGAAAAATATATCGCGCCAGCGACGGCGACGGAGTGAAAGGAAGAGTTAGCCGCGAGTTAGTTCGAGCCGCATCCGTCATATCGTTGGTATTTTGAAACGCTTCTCGCAAACTGCAAAGATTGTCTCCCTCTCTCTTTCTCTCCGTAAATGTTTTTCCGTTACGTAAGAGCATGGTGGTACACGACAATGAGAATCCGCCTCGCTCTTCCGACCTCGAGAGAGTAGCAACGACAACGACGGAGAGGCTGCGACGAATTTCTCTCGCGCACCGTGCGAATAATTACATTGAAATATCGATTTTCGACAGGCGGCGAAGCGTGCTCGGGTCCTTCTTCGCTTTGTCCACCGTGCTTTCAGGAGCGCCGGATAAAACGCATTCGAGTGCTCGAGAGAGCGAGGTCGTTCGGAGAAGGAGAGAGAGAGATATGAGCAGAGGCAGGAAAAGAGGGAGAGAGAAGAGAAGGAGGAAGATCAGGTAGAGGATAGTCGGCAGCCCGGACTGACCAGCGGGTGCTCCGGATCCGACTGGACCGGTTTTGCTTGGATTCCCTAGGAGTTCTAGCCTTCGGGAGTCTGCAAGACTGGCTCTCGGCTTTCTGGGATTCTCTCACCACCGGTTACCGGTCGACACAGAACACTGGGACAGGCACTCGTCGCTCTCTCAGACTCCTCTCTTCTCTCCCTCCCTCTCTTTCTTTCTTCATTTCTTTTTTTCTTGCCTCCTCTACCGCGTCCTCGTTCGCCGGGGAGGAAGTTTCACGCCGCATCGCCGCTGGACGGTTCCAGCCGTGCTAGATTTCAACGTATCATTTATCATCGGACGAGGGCGGCGGCCGCTTGCACGCGCTCCTGATGACTTGATATCAAAGGCAACGGTCTCGCGACATCGATACACCGGACTTCCATCTCGTCCGCGTGGACCGAGCTAATTCGAGATTTTCTAAATGAATACGTGCCATGTGATTAATTGGAGTAGGGTGATTAGGATTTGCTGTGAGACATCGTGCTCTGGCTCTCGGCGCTCCTCGAGCGTGCGCTAAAGTTTTAGTTAATAATTGATATTAAGAATTTAGATTAGAATTAATAGTTTATGATTAGAGCTATGAATCGACGATTCGCGAGCACTTCCCACCGGAAGAAGGCTCCATTGCGATCTCGCATTAACTAGGGATCGCTCTTCATCCTCGTTTCGAAATGTTTCGTCGAGGTGTTGTCAAAATCCAGTTTAGGAATCGAGTTCAGCCTCCTGAAACGGTTCTGAACGACCGTTATAGGTGACGACGGCGGAGATGTTCGTTCCGGAAAGGTGGACTAGTCGGCCAGTTGCGTCGCGGTTTTGTCTACTTGGCAATACGCGTGAAAAGAGGTGGTTGTTGAGAAAAAGGGTTGCACGCAGGCTTTACTTCGCAGGGTGGCAAGCGGTCTTCTGCCTCATTGTGGGAACGTCCCGATGATGGATTCGGTCATTAATTAAGTCGGATAAGTGGGAACCTCCTGGCTCATTTTTTACTCGCGTTCGAGGTACGAAAGTACTTGATATGCGATGTTTATCCTTGTCGTTTTATTTATTATTTAACCATGTAGCGATTAAATTTAGAGCTTCTAGCTGCTTATTTACTCTTTTAAATCTTGATACGTCGGATTAATTAACACGTTTAGTACCACATGAATTACCTGGCCGGCAATAACATAAGGGAATTATGCATACCTAATTTTTTTTTCGTGCGATCACGCAGCAAGTCACGCAAAATTTATGCGCCATTGAACGTGTTGAATTATATAATTATTCCTACCTAATAAATCTTTCATACGTGTAATACTTTATAACTGCTGGTTTATTCGCATTAATTTCGACGGACTATAACTTTAATTCCCTGCTTTGTGCGTTAACAACTTTATTTTCCCCGTAATCTGCACGAGATCTCGTACCCGGGATTAAAATGCAGAAAATGAGAGAGAAAGGGAGATTACAAGTCTCCCCATCTCCGCCCTGACATACTCAAATCTCAGCGAAGACAATATACTTAAGTTTCGAATCCACAGCGCGGGATCTCCTTTGACAAAATAATTTTGTAAAAAAAAAATGTATAGCAAGAGGCAGAGGGAAAGGACATATTAGCAAGTTCGAGCTTCTGGTCCAAGAAATTATTCAAGGACCAGAAGCTCGAACGCGTGTTCCCATAGAAAGGATCGAGTTGTAGGTCAAACCTCACTAAGTCACTGAGAATTATGCTACCTGCATGCTAACACATTTTTTGCGATTGCGTGTCCGTCGCGCTAGCGCGCGTGGACGACAGGTGATACGCGTGACGCCCGCACGAGATTTCGGGAAATCGCGTACATAGAAGGGTGCCCGTGGAGTGGAACGTCGGGATTATCGTCGTTGTCTGGCGCTTTAGAGGTGCCATTAGCCACGGCACGTCACGCCGGTGGTAAAAGAGCGCAGCTGATGAATAGCGCGATGATCGCCGCTCGCGTCGCGTCGCTTTCGAAGAGGGTAAAGTCTACTCGACCGCGCCACCGCACATTCATTATGCCACTCTTTTACGAAATGAAACCGGACGCACGCACGCACGCTTCCGTAATGGCATTTACATAATCACCGTGACGAATTTCTTTCGGGAAAATCCTTTCGACCTGTAATCAGGATGATTCGCCCGAATTGGTAAGATTCGAAAATCTCGATGCTTCGTCTAGGAATTTTTAAGACCTGTCGCCACAATGCCTGGAACTTGGTCCGAGAAATGTGAAGCCAATCAACTTGCGGCTATTCCGTAAAAGCTGCAAGTTGCTTGGCTACACATTTCTCGAAGCTAGAACTTGGACCAAGTTCTAGCATCGTGGATACAGGCCTTAAGAGCTTATTAGCATTTTAGTATGGTCGAGATATCGCTTTGAAAAAATTTGCGCGGTCAACATTATGTCCACGAGGCCTCTCGCGAACTTCGAGGCTTAATTAGCTGGTGGTAACAAACGGCGCGGGAGGGGGAGGGGGTTACATCCATTTATTTATGCGACTCCAATCACAAACGGCGTGTCGGCCACGACACCTCGGTGCCGTTAAACTCGCGGCGGTCGGCTATCAAAACGACGAGTAAACAAAGCACTGAATCAGAAATCGATATAAAACGAGGCGCTGCCGGCATCGAGACGGCCGGTGATTAATAGTAAACGCGCCGGCTTTTTTCTCGTCTAATTTATTCGCCCCCGCCAGATCACATTTTTCCGTGCGCACGCCTTAATAACCATTTAATGCTGTGCTAATGACGGCTCTTTGCCGAGACTAATGATTTTGATCGTCCTGTGCTAACGACAGCGTCATCGGCATTCAACAGTAACAGGGCCGATGTGCAACCGCACACGTCGATTACGTTGAAGATGAAGATTTATGTAAAAATATTCCACCGCTAAATCGCGCTAATAGTACGGACTCACTATTTCATTATAAAAACGGTAACTGACTATCTCGGGCTTAGCCTCTTCTAATTCATCGCCCGCGCGATTATACTTGATAATAATACAATTAATATAATAGCAATGATTATGTGCTGTTTAAGCGGTTAGATAATATATATAATCTGTTACGGCATATATTGGTAGCGCTGAGTCAGCTGACGGTCATTAAAGCAAAACGTGCGGCAATGATGCCCGTTACGCATATTTAACATCACGTTTGTCTCATCGTTTCGGTGAAAAATCGTCGCTTTTCGATTCACTTTGCGATTTGCATTCGCGATTCTAGCGAAGAAAGAGGGAAATTGCCATCTGGATTGAGATTTGTTTAATGAAAAATATGATTTTCTTTGGTCAATAACTTTTTCAATTGCGATCTCCCGGTAAGTTCGGGGATATTTTTCGATTATTTATGTACTGCGTGCGTGAAAACGACCGTTTAAATTACTTTACCTCCGACCGTGCTCTTACCGGGCACTTTGAATGCACGTACCGAAATTTGCGTACCGATTTACGCGTGATTCGCGTGTCGGAGAACACGCGGCGAGGTGCTCGTGGACAAAGGGGCCTCGTTTTCCTCAAAACGCAAAAATTAGCGTCGCCTCTGGGCAGAGAAGAAGGGAGTCGAGGTAAAAGAAAAAAAGGGGGGTACTGCCCGATGCGGCCGATGCATCCGCAACAATGATAATTGCGAGTTGTTTCTTTCATGGCACCGCGCACGATTACCCGAAAATAAGCGTTTGTAATGGCATATCTTCCTTCCTCGCCCCCGTTGCTATTCGGCGAGCCTTTCTTCACTGCTTCTCTTCCGCCTTTCGTCCTTCGGGCACCGGGACGAGAAGCCACTGGCTATCTCTCGACGATCGCGAGAGAGTCGCTGCATATTTTGATATAGCTCGCTCCAAGATTCATATTTTGATCGTTGCAATGGAAACGGCAGGTGGTTCGTTAACATTTTTTTAGCGAATGAAGTACGGGCTCTGATTCTTAATCATTAATTAGGATTTATGGTAGGTGCATACGGCATGGATAATGATTTTCTACGTAAACTAGAAGATCAATTTGCACAGCGTACAGTGTAACACGCGGAACAGGTTGTAACAGTATCTTTTTCTACAAGATCTTCGAGAATAATAATTTAATTGCGATGGAGATACTCTTCTCAACAAAAAAAGATATTTCGCCGCTCGAGCAGCGAGCTATACTAAATTACAAAGTAGTTTTGCATCCGCCTGTATATCCGCGGATTCCATCTCGTGGGCCCTACGGTGTAACAAGCGAACGCACATAATGATATTAATCAGGGCGGTGTGTTCGGCTTCCTTAAAATTGCCGGCAGGCTCAATTTCTCACTTAAAATCTAATTAGAGCTTGCCGGAGCTCGAGCTGCCGTAGGCCGACCGACGGGATTTAAGGGGGCGTGAGGGGGAACGGAACCGAGAGGGGTCCCGTTCCCTTCCTCGACACAAGTGGGCCGCGAATTTGACCTCGGAGTAAAGACGGATCCCAACCTAAGGCCCTACTTTACGAAATTGCAGTTTCCTGCCCTTGGATCGCCGATCGTCCCGCGGACCCATTTTTGGATCCACCGAACTCGATGATCGGTTCACCAGCCCGGCCGCCGCAGCCGCCGCAGCCACCGCCGCTCTGCCGGACTTAGTCGGGGCCCCCGAAGGAGTATCCAGTCGTCAAGGATCGGTCATCAGGACTTTCGGGACGTCCGGGACAAGTCGTCCGTCGATCGCGCGCAGTCAGGACACTTGGGCGGGCCTAAATATCGTCGGATTTGAGGTGAGCGACATTTTCCTATCATATGAATTCCTATCGTATAAGATTCTTGGCTTGGAGAGCCAGGAGTGCCACATAACGCCGAGACACGATATATCGCATACCCAAATCGTGGAATATTTCAATGAAAAGTGAAGAGAACTTTAGTTATTTTATAGCTATTCCGATATGTTTTCATTATTATCTTCGTACTCCCGTTTGGAGTTTGGTTGGATTTTGAAAAAATTATCGGTTTTACGTTCAGATTTGAGATATTTGATTGATGTACGGTCTGCAAATATTTAATAGTCTACGTGAGAGTTCCAGTGACGATAAAATACGTTTGCATTCCGCGATCGACAGCCTGGTGTCACTCGTTTACAGAATACATTGACGTTTAATGCATAATTATGTGCATCGGACGCTAAATCGCGAGGGTCGCGCATATCAGGGATACACGACGATAAAAAATGTGAACGCAAGAGAAGGGGAGAGAGA